TATATCACCAACCAGGCACTTGAGAGCCAGCAGACACAAATTGTGGCATCTCAGAACCTCAGCTTTCTTCTGAGTATCTGTATCCCAGAGCCACTAATCTTCACCCACCCCTGAGACACTTAAATTACCTCAAACAAAAGAAAATTCATGGTTTTTGAGAAACTTGCTTTCCGGAAAGAGATACAAACTTCATGAGAAGCAACAAGCCCTTGCCCTCACTTGCTGTGGAATGCTTTTAGATTACTCTTTCCAGATAATTATATCTATTCATATTTCTGATTTCAATATGAATTTTCATTTCTCAAGAAAAAGCAATGACATGAGTCTACTAATTTTCAACATTTAACAGAGCTTCCATCATAGATTGTCGATAATTTGATTTGACTGCAGGCTTTACAATGACAGCTATTACACTGTGTGTCTTGTCACCTAATATCCCCCATATACACAGTGTGTATCTGAAATATACAGTCGATCGGTGCCGGGAGCCGGTCCATGCTTGCTGTTTCAAGGGACCTGGCATATATGGCATACTGTTCTTAATATGTTTGCTCACCTTCTTGGCACTATGTGTTTTAACCAAGGTCTCTGAGAAAGGGTGTTTCCCCAGGTAGGGATTTTCCCCTGAAGTTAGGGAGGGAATAAAACCTCTTAACTAAGAGCAAGGCGGGTAATTAATCACTTTAACTATGAACAATCATGCTTAAGCTACATAATCTTTACTCCCTGGAATGGAGATAAGAAACGCCCTAACCTTTGTAATAGAGATTGATAGGATTGAATCAACTGGTATAAATACAGATATAACAAGACAGCAAGACACAGAACTTAGGACACAGAACTTAGAACACAGAACTTAGAAGACAGAACTTAGAAGACAGAACCTACACAGAACAAAGAAGACAGAACCAAGAAGACAGAACCTACACAGAACTTAGAAGACAGAACCTACACAGAACTTGTAAGACAGAAGAACTTCACTGGAGAGAACATGGCAAAAGATCCTGGACTGAACCTGACTACAGAAATTGGCAAGAGAACCTGACTAGAACCTGGTGACTGAACCTGGCTGGAGAACCTGGACAGAACCTGGCTGGAGAACCTAGCGAGGGAACCTGGCTACAGAACGTGGTTGGAGAACCTGGAGAACCTAGCAAGAGAACATGGACACAGACCCTGGCAGGAGATCCTAAGCAGAACCTCTCTGGAGATCGAGACCAGAACTTGGCTGGAGATCCTGGCTAGGCTGCTGATCAACTGAACACTGTCTCCGTGTCCTTCCTTCTTCGCCGACTCGGACTACGCCTTTGGGAACCCCTGGACCTGCTGGGGTTGGACCCCAGCAGATAGGCTATCAACATTTATTCCATATTTCTTCTAGTTTCCCCTCTTGGAAGGATAAGCATCTTCATTTTCCTTAATCTCCAGATCTTCCAAATAAGGTTGAGATACTGAAAACAAGATGCACTCAGGCAAGGCCTGGGTTTGGAGTTGGTTTCAGTGGGAAGAGAGGCAATAAAGAGTTATGGAGTCAGCAGGCCCTGTCCTATGGGGGACTTTCTGTTGCCCAGCTTGTAGCTAAGGTAGAGTGGTCATGGAGGCAGTGGATGGAACAGGAGCAAGAGATCCCCATAGCTTCCTGATACCTGCCCACAGAGAACCCATTCTTCAGTTAGTCCATGGTAGCCCACCGGCAGTCACTCTTGTACAGCCTACGTACAGTCTTCTCCCTCAAACCTTTCTGTTATTTATCTATTTTCTAATACCTATAACCAAACTCTGATGGACCCAGTATTCAGAAAATATTTGTTGAATAAATCAATAGACAAATGAAAGGGTAGATACCACCTGACTTTAAATAATTTTTCTTAAGCCTGTAATAGATGAGATAACTTGCACCTCTTATAAAATTATATCCTAATAGTCTTTTTTTGTTCTTCGTAAATTATATGTTGCAAGCATACATTAAGTAAGTGATGAGATAGACTGCAGCATTTGAAAACTTGTATTGCCTACACTACAGAAAAAACTCATAGTACTTTCACTTCATATTGAAAATAATGCTTCATTCATACTTCCTCTACAACTATTAAAGCTAAAAAACAGACTGAAACAGTTTTTTCATTAAATGTATTATGAACTAATAAACAACAAGTGAATAGGACAAATTTAATAAGAAGTATGAATAAGGCATTCTTCATATAGTACTAGTTAGAAATTCAATATAATGTCGTTGCCTGACAGTAAAGCAAATTCATTAAGAACTGACTTTGGTGGCCTTTCCACTTTCAGATTAATTCATCATCTTCCCAAGATGTATCAGTTACCATTCTGGCACAATAACTTTCTGAAAATGACCCAGTATGTGACCTGAATGAATGGATTCAGTTGCCAGAATGATTTAAGAAAACAAGTTTCCAGAGCATTTCATGAGAGACACGTTGACTAGTTCACAGGGCTTTACCCCATAGAATACCGACACATTTTCCAATAACTTTTCACTTGGAAAAGGGAATCTTTGTCTTTCAATTCACAGTTTGATTTAAAATTGAAAGGCATTTTCTTTAAAATGTATTCCCTATTACACAAAAGCCAAAAAAAAAAAAAGCAACAATATGTGAAAGTCTTCCCCTCCTGTATAAGGATTTATAAAACTTCCACTGAACAATGAGATTCTCAAAATTCAAGAAATTAACAAAGTGTGTTGATATGGGGATTTCTATGATTTGTATATTTCTATGTAGATTTGTGTCTGCCACAATTACTTGTCAAATGTGATTAGATGTAAATATTAAGTGGTAAGATACCTTACGTCTCTTAGAGACTAATGATAAGTGGTGCTTATGGTGGTGTCTCGTACATGTCAGCACCTATTTCCACTGTCTTAATCATAATAAACAGTACTTATATGCATACAGAAATATAGTAGTTCTGTGTATATATGTTACTCCTATTCAATAGTATTTCATGTACATAGAGATGAGTTTTTATTGAAATAATATTGGAATTACAATATGGCTTTGTTATAACATCTCCACTATTCTCTGGACTGGCATCTTCTCTATGCAGCTTTGATACATTTGTAATTATTCATAATTATTTTTGTTCAAGGAATGAGTCTGAATTCTTAATGAAGAGGGTAAAAATCACTAATACCCCCTCTCTGCCATCAAAAAGACATACACTTAAGGAATAATCTGCATTTGATGAGCACACCCCTGGTCCTGTCAGACCTTTCAGAATCTTCCATGTTCAAGTTCTGTCTAGTTCTAGGCTGAAGAACTAGATGGGTCCCAGGTCTGAACTCAGTTGACCCTCTGGATGGAATAGGCCAATTGGCATGTAAGCCAGCTTCAGACAGGTCCCTAATGGGCATACATTATTGTTATAACATTTTGATATAATAAGAAAGGCATCAAAATGAAATAGAATAAATCACTTCATTGGTGTTTCCACTCCACTTTATACTTAGCAATCACAATGTACTATTGATATTATTTACAAGTATATCTTCTTGTACAGATATTTACAATATAACTTCCTGTACACATGTTGGGCAGAGAGAATGGTTTGCTAGCCTTCCCATCACCAGCATCTAGAGCCGTGACTGACACAGAGTATCCTATATATAAAAGGGTAATATGCAAATTGTCCCTTCGACCAGGAGTTTGACCAGGGTTCGACCAGGGGTTGGGGCTGGCCCACCAACCTCCCGTGTCTCCCCCTCCCCACCCCACCCAGCCCAGCCCAATCAGCCTGATTGGGGCAAGCCAGTCGAACCCCACACATGCATGAATTCATGCACCCAGCCTCTAGTAATATAAATAAATGCTTGTTCTGTTCAAGTGAGTCAAAGGGAAACAATTATTTTGGTGATTAAAACTTGTTCCATAACTGAAATAACTCTGTGCTTCCACAAGTAGAAATCTGCAAAAATGTATCTATATATTATCTCAGATATATGAATATATATATATATATATATATATATATATATATATATATATATATATGCCAGAATCAAACACAACACTATGAATGGTTTATGAATCCACATAAGAGAAAATTAGGATCACTTACTATAACATTTAACTTTAGATATTTGCATTGCCAAGTCATGAAACACTAATGCAATTTAATTTGCATTTGTAATAAATTCCTAGAATAACAAAGAATAAGGAAAAGTGATAGGAAATGTAGCTTTTCGAGCTCATATGAGTATGAAAAACTTATATAACTCAAAAGCATGAACTTATCAGATATGTTTTTAACTTGCTATTAAAGGCATTGAGTAAAAAAATATAATTGTGCATTAAGATGCTATAGATGCTTTAAGAGAAGAAATAGAAACACTGTATGTGTTTTGCAGCAAATTGACACTAAAACACATAATCTGCAACTGCAAGAGAATATTTTTTAAAAATTTAAAAACTACTGTTTCCTGAAGTCAAATTTTGGATTTAATCTAGTTTTAACATTTATGTCATAACCTATAAAAACAATTTGCACCATGACATTTAATTGACACAAAAATAATTTCCTCAGGCTAACTAAAAAGGAAGCAGAGAAGAGTGAGCTTTAACTAAATCTAAATATTTACTCAGACACAGTACTTAACCATAGTTACTGAGGAATGCTTATTGCATAGTTACTCAAACTCATGGAGAAATATGCTTATTGAAAATACGATCAATTGTTTAGCAAACACTGACAAGAAGCTATAATAGGAAACCAAATTTGCAAAGATCCATCCCTGCTTTCACTTTTTTGTTTCTTACAGAAAAGCCTGAAACTCAGATTTGTCATATTCTGACATTCTCATAGGAAATTTGTCACAAGCATGAACAACATTATTTTAAATCACAATAAGAAAAAGAGCAAGCCATCAGATTGCACAAAAGGAAATATTCCGATTGGAGGTGTGTAAAAATTAAGGTGGCTTCCACCTAGACCTCAGAGGCACACACAGTGAGAACACCCGTCTCCCAGGAACACCGTACCTTGTTTGTCTCCTGCAGTTCAATTTGTGATGTCTTGAAATCAGGATCTTGGGAGTTTGCACTTAATCTATCTTTCCTCTTGAGGAGTTCATCCATTTCTTTCACCTGGACCTTTAGCCTTCTATTTTCTCTATCCAGTCCTTGTTTTTCAGTTTCAAATATTTCCCTCTGGCCCCATTCCACTGTATTTTCCACCTGCAATCTTTCTAGCTGAACACAGAAAAAAAAACAAAAACAAAGAAGTGGCATGTAGCATATGTAGTTGCTCAAGGGCCAGCAAACAGTCTCCACCAAGAAAGGTTCATGGATATGTCATTTCCATCATTTTTTGAAAGAAAATTTTATTTGTCTAAAAAGTTGAGAACAACACAAATGTCATGAGACCTGTCCATGCCCTAGATAAGAATATCTTTCCTCTTGGTTCCTTTGACTATCTCTGTACCCACAAGCCATATTTGTCAAATAAACATGGTAAGTCAAAAACTGATGATATTTTGCCAATGGTCTCCACTCAAGTGATGAACAGGTATCAGTTGAGAAGACACACATCATTTCTTGGGAAATTCTATTGGATGGATATAGTTCATGTAATCATTCACTCATTCATTCATTTATTTACTATACCTTTCCATTTTCAGGCACTGCGCTAGTCACTTCAATTAAAGACAAAAGAATGCAATAAAATTTATAGATGCTGTAACTCAAGTAGTATAAAATATAGTCAACTTCACATGAGTCAATGGCCAATTTGATTTCAGGGAGTAGATGTTGGCAAACCATGGCCAGAGAGTCAAATCTGGCCCATGGTGTCCTTTTTTAATAGTTGAAAAAAATCAAAAGAACAATATACATTAACATTATATAAAATTCAAATTTCAGTGACTTCTGTGTTTCCCAACTTGAGGGAGACACTCTACAAAGATAGGACATTGTCTCTGATTTGTGGCCGACACATTAGAACAATGGCCAATGTATGAGACATGAGCAGGAACCACTGGATGAAAGTCGGCTTGGTTCTTCTCATCACTTCTTCCAGTGTCTCACTGAAATTCGCAATGCCTGCAGAATTTTATTTACACTCTGGCTGAGACAGTTTAAACATCCAGGTAAAACATGCTTTTCCACTGTGCGCTATAAATATCTTATGATTCCAAGATGTTTGAATGTTTTTAGTCAGCCGGTAAGGTTAAACTTTTATGATACCTGACAAATGTATTGTTTTGAGTTTTGACAGCAACATCAGAGGTGCGCTTAGGTGCAGCTTTATATCTGTGGCTTACATCTTCTCTTCTGGAAGAAGAAGAATATTTCTCTGGTGTGCAGCAGCTGAAAGGATCGATTACTCAAATATCTCAGTGAGTCAAAGTCCAGCATGAACATTTGTCCAAATACAAAAACAAATGTCAATGCTTACGAATCGATTGCGTGAGAATCTTCAATTCACCTGACCTTTTCACTGAAAAATTATTAGACATTTATGGTAGAGGAAAGAAATTCTCAAAAGATTTGATAAAGGTCAAGTACAGTCTTGAGCATTATTTGAAACTGGTGTTTCCAATAATTATTTATGACCAGACTTCAAAAACACTTACAAGGAAAATTTTAAGTGGCTCTGGTCTAGAACCAGGCACATTTCCTTTGAGTTTCTTATAAATAACTCGTGTTTACATCAGTTCTCCACCTCATACCGCCCCAAAATAAACCAGAAGGACCTCCTTTCCTCTCTCTTCAGGGGTGGTCAAAATTAAGGAGGCTTTTCAAATGGCAATTGTTTCTACTAACCTTGGGTTATATACAGGACAGAGATTAAATAAACCTTAGTGGAGGCCAGGATTTGACTCAGAAGAAGATAGAAAGTAGAACAAGAATGGGAAATTTTAAGACCCAGAGGCATGAAGAAAAATACCAACCAGTGTTCAGGATTGTAGCATAACCTTACAAAAGTCACTGGTACCAGACAAACAAACAAGGCTTTAAACCTGAGAGGAAAAAGGCTAGCTTCTGTCAGGAGATTATTAAGGAGAATAAAACCAGTTCAGAGACTTGCTTAGAAAGGTCACTAAGTCACAGCAAGGAAATACATTGGCTACTCTGATGCCTATCAATTTCCATTTTATTTCTCTGTCTACAGGTCATGAATTGACAATGTCTGAGCGATAATAATTGTATTGTTTACCAGGTGTACCAGTTAATAATGGGGATTTTTTTATGAAAGAAAACATGATAATTTCAAGAGAAACATCAGAAGTGCTTTATTCAAAGTAATGTCCATTACCAGCTACACATTTCCGCCATCTTTTAGGTAATTTGTGGGTACCATCCCAATAGAACTTTTCTTGTTTTGAGGCAAACCATTCTTCGTATGTTTTGAAATGCTGCTCAGAAAGTGTATGTGCCATCTATTGGAACAAGTGGTAATCTGAAGGAGCAAGGTCTGGTGAATAAGGCGATGGGTTAATACTTCCTAGGCAAGATCTTTTAACGTGTCTTTAACTGGTTTTGAAGTGTGTGATGGTGCATCATCATGAAGCAAAATTACTTTGCCGTGTCTTCTGGCCCATTCTGGTCATTTTACAATCAAAGCGTGGTTCAAGTTGACCTGGATGTTCTTTGTCTTTCACATCGAAATCATCACTTTTAAAGCGTTTAAACCAGCGTTCCCAAGTATCTTGAGATGGAGCATGTTCACCATAAGCTTCCCGAAGTATACGATAACTTTCAGCAGCACTTTTCTTCAAAATAAAGTAATGAATTAAAACTTCCCACAAATGCTCTTTTTTGGCACGAAATTTGACATTTTTAAGCATAAAATTATCTATGATGTTAACACCTTCAGAAAACTTGACATATGAAGTTTTGAAGCTTGTTGTCATTATAACAAAATAGCATACATATCAAATTGCATATATATCAACATATGTGTAACTCCATCTACTGAAAAAAACCCGCATTATTAACCAGTATACCTGGTATTTACATTCTTACCTTAGAGGCTCCGTTTCAAATTTCCTGCTCCTGTAATGCAAATGATCATGGCCTTTTTAAGGATGTTTGATGATTTTTAAATTGTTGGAATGATATTCATGGTTAAAATATCTTTTCATGTATTGAAAAAATGAAGCACTCCTATCATCATGTAGGGTATCATTATTTAGCCGCATCATGTAGCTTTTTGCTTGATTTTTATATTTTTTGCTTAGTATTCTAGCATAGGGAATTGTGTTCCCAAAACTATGCAAAATAATTAAGTTCAAAACAATAGAAAATCAAATATTTAAAAGAGCTACTTGATTTTTGATGGTGGAAGGCCACATCACAAAGTGATCACGGTGTGAGTTTTCATTCTAACACTGCCATCTACTAGTTCTGTAGCCTTCAGCATGTTCCTTAAACTTTCTGAGACTGCTTACTCATCTGGAAAATAAGTATAACAATGTTTCCCTTCTAGACTTCATGTGCTGATTAACTGAAATCAATTACATTAAGGGCTTGTAAGGCACATAGAACCTACAAAGTTGCTGGAAGTGTTCATACTACAGGTATAAACATTAGCTGTAAATACTGACTGATGCTCAGTCTGAAAGAAAACAGGGACAATATTTTAATGGATATATTACACACTATTTGTTAATATTTAAGTCAAGGATGTATACTTTAAATGACTTTTCTTTTTCATTTCTCTTTTGGCCTGTTTTCTTCCTTCTATCCTTGCTCACCTCCAAATGACATCCTCCACGTTTTATAAGATATACATTCATGGGTTGATAAAGTAATTTGGAAGAATAGTTGTCTCGATTTATCACTTATTTATTTCTTCAGTAAAGCGATTACTGCTGTGGTGGTCAGAGAAAGCCTAAAGTCAAATACTCAAATGTGAACAAAGAGAATTTTCCTAAGGTACTTGAATCCTTGCTAAGTCACAGAAAAATAACCTCAGGCTATAAGACTGATAATTCCAGAACAACTGTTTTGTACTTGAATCGGTCAATACTGAAAAATAAAAATGACCCTAGTTGATTTGGCTCAGTAGGTAAGAGTGTCGACCTACGGTCTGAAGGGTCCCGGGTTTGATTCCGATCAGGGCACGTATCTGGGTTGTGGACTCGATCCCCAGTAGGTGGTGTGCAGGAGGCAACCAATTAATGATTCTCTCTCATCATTGATGTTTCTATCTGTCTCTCCCTTCCTCTCTGAAATCAATACAAATATATCTTTTTAAATAAAATAAAAATGAATATGGTCCATCACTGCTAAAAATACTTTTCCTATAGCTACCTGTGATTACCAGGATTAAACATAGATATGAGCACATTTTTACTAATTCATAAATTTACAGAACTTATCTAATTAAAAGAATTTCCATTGCTTAAATAGTTAAAATACAGATGAATTTTTAATAATATTCCAAAGAAACATCTTACTCTGTTAAAGAAACAACTGAATTCAACGTGAAATTCAAAGGGTACTAAATTTCTCCAATTAACAACTCCTGAAAGAATCACTGTATGAAAACTGGGTTTATCTTATAAGTATTAGCTTGGAACATATAAAATATCCTATATAATAAAGAAGTATTATGCAAATGGACGTTACATAACGACTGACCATGTAACGACTAGATCACGGATCAGCAGGAGGGTGGGGCATCAAACTACAAGCAGGCAGTGGAGAGCTACAAGAGGGGGCAAGGCAGCAAGCTAGGGGGGATATAGGGGGAAGGGGGCCGGGGGAGCTACAGTAGGGCGGGGCAGCAGGTAGAGAACTACAGGAGGGTGGCAGCGAGCTACTGGCACACGGATTTGTGTGCAGGTCAACTATTAATCAAATAAAGAACACTCCAAATCATATTCCAAATGAATATAAACAGTTGTCCCTCTTCACATTTTAGTTTTACTTTTTCTCAAAACCTCATAGAAGATTGAAATAGAAGGCCCTTTTCTATTTGACATGTACTTTATCTTTCCCCTTTTCCATTCAATCAAGTATCATTTATTGGCCACCTACTATGAGCCTGGCACTATTGCAGACTGAGCCTAAGAACTGTACCGTCTAAATGGACAGGTTTCTTCTTTACCATTGCTGTCAGGTTATCAACATGATTAACCTGGGATTTTGGCCTAAGAATAGAGATATGATTGCTCTCTGTTCATAAGAAAACATGTTTTGCAAGGGAAATATTTTGAGGATGATAATAGGAAATTTCTAAAACA